TCCTGTAGTGCAGCCTATCTGTGAGGTACAAAGTCTCTTCCATGGACAATGTTCACCTTGGTAGGCATTAGACCTCACAATTACCTTGTTGAAACAGTTCTGTGCTTGATTAGTGTATCCAACAACACCGCCCTCTCTGCACATGCATGCACACTTCCATGTGTACACACACACACACTCACCAGAGGAGCCATCCCTTCTGTCTACTGTTCTGTCCCCAGGCCCCAGAGTCCAGCACTCAGCTCCCAAAAAGAAATAGAATGAATCAATAAGCTTAAAACTGTCAACCTGCTCTTCACATCTCTTCTGATGGCAACACCTCTGCTTATGGGGTATGGATGGTACAGCTTTCTGAAGCCAACAGAGGACACTTTAAATCAAGATTTCTGGGTGTAGGGAGCAACCTGGGAATCCTGGTGCCAGTTAAAAATTGAGAAGAGGACCGAGCAGCCAGGAGCCTAGCGCTATGGACAAGTCCCAGCTTCCAACAGGCAAGGAGAGAGCAAGAGGGCACAGGCAGGGAGGACTCCACCAACCCCATGACCCCATGCTGCCAGACCACTTGGGAGCATGGCAGGCAGGAGGCACCTTTATCTGGAAGGGCTACCCACACTGTGAGCTCACCTCCAAGGAGGATGTCAAAGCAAATCTATCTAAAGAAGATGCTGAAGTCTCAGGGTACAAATGCCCTAACCAAACACCACCATTTAAATGTAGCAGTGGCTTAAAAGAGTCATATGTCACAAGCCAAAATGTCTTGCTGTTAGGAAACCTAGTAATGAAATTCATTGTAACAGCTCTTCATTAAGTGGGGAAAATATGTGGTTATATCAACATATGATGAAAGGGCATTTCTTTTAAAGTCATTAGCCATTTTTAAAATCTAATTGAAATATGAATAAACAGAGTCTAAGTTGAGCAAAGATGGATGCTCAAACCCAACAACAAACACTGTTCACGGTATATGTGAAGGTGCTCCCAGGCTTTGCCTAGCTGGCACAGTCCACAAACCCTGACCAAGAAGCAGGAATATCAGAGAAGAAACCAGATCACCTTCATCCATAGAGCATACATTGTATACTGTAAAAAATCTAAGAGATACTGCTAGTAATGGAATTTAGAAATATATGTACTCAAAAATAAGTAGTCTTCCTTTCTTCTAGGTGCAATTTTATTTGTAGCTGCTTCAAATCTTCTAAACACTCTCTGCCCATTTTGGATGGCTCCTGTGTGGTGTATCCCACTTTGGCCTTATAGAATTTGAAAACTTCATCTTGTAGCTTAAGTGTGCAGCAGTATGTCTTTGGACCAGATGTGACTTTGGAACAGGTGACCTATGGCTGCCAGCCAATAGGCAGGAGCCATGTAGCCAGGCCAGCTCAGCATCTGCCCTGGGCCTCCAGCCCTCCTAGCAAAGTGTGCTACATAACCCAGTCAGGCAGACTCTGGGGTCCACACTAGAAAGGACAGTATACACAGACTCCCCATTGGGCTGGATGAGAATACTCCTACCTCTTTATTTCTAGGATCATCCATTTGCCAAAACAGCAGAAACTTGACATCTTAGTACAGCATTCCCATCTTCTTTCCCAAGGAGGGTCCAACTAGGGGCTGGGGACAGGGTGGCAACTATCTACTCAGATATTTGTTCCCCTCAACTAGCATACACAGGCTGCTGCCAAGATAGCCTTCACCTCATTTGTGAGTCAACTCCTATCCCTTGGTATTGGGTCACAGCCCAATTTTCAGAGCATGAGGTTACCTGTGCCCCCCACCACTGTCATCTCCCTGAGACCTCAGCCCTTGAATGGAAGCTAGAGGCCTCTCTGGGCCCAGCTTACTGTCATCACAGCACCTCTCCTCCTTCCCCATATGCTCAAGGCTATTCCTCCTAGTTTAAGAGAAATCTCTACCCCCTCTTTATTTTGAAATAGCTGAGAGACTCCCCCTCAGCTCCTCCCCATCTCCATCTTTAGGGGTGGGGCTTAGCCTTTTGGACACACAAAGGCCAGACACCCAAGGTTGTCTGCCCTGTCAGTTGGTCCCTTAAGACAACAAGCAGCCCTTGTTTACCTCCTTGCATGGGGTAGGACATTTATGAAATGAACATCACCATGAAGGTCAAAAACATTCACTTCCTTCATCAAAAAAGGGCCAGTTAAATTTAAAGGGAGAAATTCCATTTACAATATTGCCAAAACTATAAATTACCCAGCAATAAATATACTATGGAAGATACCCAGTCCATGTGGAGACCTCACAGCTACACCAAGGATCCCACAAATCTCTGAGTGGGGACACATCCCCACTTCAGACCCAGGGAATGAGAGCCCCACTGGATCCAACAGAGGGGCACCCGGACATGTGCAGCACAGGAGAGGGAGAAGCAGCGACGATGCCTGGGAAGGGCACCCACTTCACCCTCTGTGAGGTGCTGCGAGGCTGCCAAAATCAAAACTGCAGCATAGTGACTAGTAACCTCGGACCAGGAAATCCCCATGGTAGCAGATCAGAGTGCCCTGTTATACGTGGGAATGCATTCTGTCACAAAGGGGGCATACTGAATCCACAAGGAAGATGGGTTAACAAACGACACCGAGAAAAATGGCTACAAGCAAGGAGTCCCTCTACCCAGCCACACCACAAGCAAACACAAAATGGCTGCTATCTGAATGCAGGAGTCAAATCTGTAAAGATGCTAGATGCACATACAGAGGCTATTGGTATAGGGCAGAGGTGGGTCTCCCAAGATAAGAAGTCCCAAACCACTCCAGAACCATTAGACAGGCTCTACTGCAACCAATCTCAGAGGACTGAAGGAAACATTCACCAAACTTGCCCTGGGAAGCTCTGGTATACAGGGATTGGTCAAACCCAACAGTAAGAACAAGGCAGGGCCCAGAGTGTATGACCAAGGAGGAACACAGGCGAGGGTGTAAGGAATTGGTAGAGGATCTACTTCCTTGATGGATTTCCTCTCTGGCTCACCCAATCACCTTGGCCCATAGAGAAGGGAGGACAAGGACATCCCTTCAGAAATGCTGATGGCAAAAAACTGAAAACCACCATGCCCACCAATAAAGGACGGTTACATAAATTATAAAGGACTCATTCCGGGGACAAAGAACAAAAGGTCAACCTAGACAGCTATCCTGGATGGTGGCTACAGTAAGCTGCCTGGTGAAAAGGGCTAAGCAGCAGCTGATGCCACAGCGGCACTCTGTGCCTGGCCCACCCAGGGAACAAAGCCGATCTCACAACTACAGGGCCTGGCTGAGCAGACCCATGCGTGACCACCTGTTGAGGCAGAACCAACCTAAAATCTCCTAGATATGTGCAGGGTGGAGCAGAAATGGGATGAAAGGGGAGCAGATATGTGGGGTCCAGCCATCTGTGCCTGCTGCCCTCCCCAGAAGCTTCTCAGGCTAGGGGCAGGAGGCACCCCCATGTAATCTTACACGATTCCTCAAAGAGGCAGGGGAAGTCTGCGCCTTTTTTGTTTTCAGATGCTCTCTCAACTGATAAATTGGGCATGCAAAGATGGTGTGTGGACTCTGGCCCAGAACTCACCCCTCATCCTGCAGTCTTTCTCTTCCTGCAACTCCAGGGCTCACAGGGGCTTCCATAGTTCAGGACCTCCCCACACCAACTCCCTGTTGCCTCTGAATTACTGAGAATTGAATAAAATACCTTTGCATTGAGCTATGCCCCAAGCCCCTTTGTTTTCATTTTGTTTTAATTTTGAGATAGGGTCTCTCTAGTCCTTAAATTGCCCATGCTGGGCTTGAACTTTCAATCCTCCTGCCTCAGCTTCCCAAATCCCCTCTGAATTCTTGAGTTCCTTTCCCTTACTCCAGCTGTGGTCCTCAGGTCCCAAAACCAGCAGTTAGGGATGGGGCCTGTAGCATAGGAATGGGGCAGAGTCCAAGAAGAAAAGGAGATGAGCCTGTAGAGAAAACCCTTAGGCCATATCCACAGCAGGGAGTCAGCACCAGCTTCAGGGAGGACTGGAGGCCTCGCCCCACTCCCCTGCTCACCAGACCCTGATTTTCCTCCATCACACATGCAGAGCCTCTGGGAGCAATGCCAAAGCCAGGTTCTACAGGAACCATTTCCCTTTCTGAAGAGTCCGGGACCCAGCAGTGACCATAGGTCTGCACAGCCTAGGACAGCAGAAGGGCACAGTGATCAAAGACCAGACCCCAGAGAAGTCCTGGCATGTCTACTGAGCACCTCACAGTGAGCATGGGACACAGGACAAGCAGTCCTGCAGCATCAGTGCAGGAGCCAGGGCTGAAGTTAGAGGCTCATAGCTGCATAGAAGGATCAAAAGGGCAGCCCAGTTTACTTGGAAGGGTTTCCCTTGCTCCCCATTTGTGTCACCGACACTGGCTCAGCCTCCTCAGATCTAGGCCCAGGGACTGGCCCCGAGACCCTCCCAACCAGGGTGCAGGGGCCAATATCCAGCCAAGGGGCAGTCTGGCCCACAAAGGCTCCACTTCAGGCTATAGCAGCCCTGTGGCTCTCAGTGGCTGAAGAGGAGTGGGCTAGGAACAAGAGGCCTGTGGACCAGGCACAGCTGTTGTGAGTATCCATGGGCACACTGAAGCCGAGTGTCCCAGAGGGAGTGTGCGCAGGGACACATCAGCATGTGTGGTATGATGAGAATGTCTCAATGCCCATGTATGCAGATGCCCCTGTATATAAATGCACAGCAGTGAACACAAACTAGGTACAGGTGTGTTGTCTGTGGGTATGTGTGCATCTGTGCCCACTGCTGTATTTGTGTGCACTTCTAACTTGTGTGTGCATGGCTCTTTCCCCTCCCACAAAGGCCCACCCTGTGGTCCTGTCCAGCCCAACTCCCACCCATGCTCCTCAGCACACACACCTGCACCCCAAAACCAGGAGAGTGTGGTTTCCAACTGTCTTCGCTCTCAGCTTTCCACTCTCCACCAGGACCCCAACCCACATCCACACCCAGGCTCAGACCCAGGGCCTCAGAACTCAGAAGTGACTTTATTTCTTGGTAAGCAGATGCCCTCTGGGCCAGGGTGCTGGGTTGCACTTGGCTCAGCCTCAATTCCCCTCAGGGACCTGGGGGTCCCAGCCCCCTGCCCTCCCCTGGCCTCCTGCCTGGACACCTTAGAAAAGCCCAGCTGCCTGGGATGCAGTGCTGGTGGACAGGCAGTGAGGCCTCACATTTGAAAGTACAGACCCCAGTTCCGGGAACCCTGCCCAGGCCTCCACCAAGCCAGGCAGGGAGGGGCAACAACAGGCTCAGGGACAAGCTCCAAAGCCCTACAGAGGGCAGAACTCAGGGCTCAGCCCAGAGCAAGGCAGACCCCAGGCTGAGCAGGAGCCCCCCAGCCAGGGCCCAGGCGCTGTGCCCCACCACTGAAGCCACCCCGTTACACAAGTCCTTCTCGCAGCACTCCACGTCGACTTTGAGGATCCCAGAGTTAATGAACCCCATCAGATAGTCTGAGAAAAAGTGCCGCTTGACGAAGTCACAGGAAGGGGCGCACATCTTGTTCACAGAATGATCCTTCCTGCCTGGGGGAAAAGGGAAGTCGAGCTCTACCTGGGCCTGTGCTTCCTCCCCAACCCCCAAGCCCCTCTAGGTCAGCTAGGGACCAAGGTCAGCAGAACTGAGGCCTTCATTCCACCAAAGCTGGGGGCTGCATGGAAAAGCCAAGAAGCCAGGAAAGGACAAGGTAAGCTGGGCAGTGGTCCTGCCCTAGACCTGTGCTACTGTGGCAGGCCTGGCGTCCCAGAGAACACTTCTGACCTCCCCCCAGAGTCTGTCTCTTAGCAACCCCCCACCCACCCAAGCTCCAACTTACTGCTGCTGGGGTCAGTGATCTGGACGCTGGCACATACAGTGTCTGACGGCTGGCACTGCTTCGGGGTACAGTGGCTGGAGTTGGTGGTCAAGGTGCAGTCCTGGCACCACAGGCCATGAGCTGAGTAGGGCATGGGATGGAGATGACCAGAGGAACTCGCCAGGCTCTGCATCCCCTCCATCCCTACCTGCTGCCAGATCCTGGCAGAACCATGCCCCTTGGGGATACGAGAAGCAAGGCAGTCTGACCCCTGCACTTTCCTCTGGGCCTTCAGCACAGCCCCAGTGGATGGGTTCCAAGCTATGAAGGGTGGACCAGATGTAGTGGGAGGCCTGGCAGGGCTGGAACTGATGGAACAAGGAGCATCTACGCTGGACCAAGAGCCCTAGAAGAGGCACTCAGGGCCTCAGGTGCCCAGAGAGACACGCGCGGCCAGAACAGAGCTGGAGAGGACTGAGCTAGGGCCACAGGGGTCCTGGGGGATTCATGAGCTTTACGACTGAATAAGGATAGCTCCGACTGAATAAGGATAGCTCCCCCACAGCAAGGTCCTCTCCCCACACACTCCCCTCCCCACTCACCTGGCACGGGGCACAGCAGCAGGGTGAGTATCACCAAGCCGAGACCCCTCATGGCTGCAGGTAGCATGCTGTGGGTGAACCTGGGGGAGGCACCGGGCGCTGCGGGCGGGGATCCTCTAGGGGTCAAGCCTGGTGGAGAGAAAAGAGACCCAGTCCTCGGCAGAGACCAAAAACCCTCCCCTTTCCTGGCCTCGGGAAGACCTCCTCCTAAGAATTGGAAGGCCAAGTCAGCCAGGAGCTGGCAGAGCCCCACCCGACACATCCCCCCCCGCCAGCGTCCACCATCACAGCCTCCCCAAGGGGAGAAAAAGGTCTGCCCTCTCGCCGGCTGTCAGCCTGGGCGAGCTATCGGCCGGGCTTCCCCCATCCCTCACCCAGCACCTGTGGGGGTGGGGGTGTCTTGTCCTCCCTGGGAAGCTGTAGGTGAGTCCAGACAGGAACGGTAGGAGGAGGAGGAAGAGGGAGAGGACTGCACCTGCTGCGGGGAGAAGGGCGCGCGCCGTATCCCCACCCACATACACCCCACCCAACCCAACCCTACCCCACCCACCCCCGGGCTGGGGGGCTGGGGACCCCGTGACGAGGCCCCCCCCCCCCCCCCCGCTC